TTTATATAAATATAATATATAAAATTTATGTGTAAATATTTACATATATATAGTGCAACTCTAAAACATTCCTTACTCAAACAATCTTGAGCGACTATTATTTTATTATTTAACTATAGATTGGGTTTATATGTATTGATTTGTGTTATTAGTATTATTATTTTATTATTTATGGTATTAGTGTTTTTTATAATTATATTTTTTATAATTTGATGTTCCTATTTTTTTAATCGAATATATTTAAAATAATATTAAAAATTGATCACTTTGATCAAATTATATTGCTTTAATTTAAGTTAGATTAATTTAATTATAATATATTAGATTAATTTAATTTTAAAAATATTTAAATCCAAACCAATTCACTCAGCAATCACCCTACTCCTATCTGTCTTTAAACAATAAAACTAAAAGAGAAAAGATTGAAAAAATGAAAGGAAATTCATACTCCTCTTATCCGTTTCCCCACCTCAACTTCTACATTTGTAGTTATGCAATACTGATCGTATGGAAACATAAAAAATAAAAAAGAAAATTTTAAATTAACAAAATCTAGCATACTCATTCTCCTGATGAAGAGTATTTTTCTTTTCTTCTTTTAAGACAAAATTTTAAGGCAAAGCTTAGATACATTGTTGCGAAGCTTTCTACTTGCTTTATGAAGTTTTAGTTTGATTGCTTACATGTCCCTATTCCGTTTGGAAGTACTCCGCTGTAATGGAGGTAAGTTTTTTAAATTTTTAATATTTTGAATTTATATAAAATATATTTAATATTTATTTTAATTAATATTTTTTATATTTTAAAATAATAGAAAAATAAAAATAGATTAAAATATCAATAAACATTTTGAAACAAAACCTTAGTGGCTTAGTTGTTGAAATTTTGGTTTTATGTTGGGTAAAAAAAAAAAAAAAAATTTAGTTGAGTTTTATATTGTTTATGCGAAGATGATAAATTTCTTGAGATGTGGTTTCAAAACCCAAATATCAAGAGAAGCAAATCAATGGGTTCCGTGCTTTCAAACTCGCCGGTGCGTGATCGTTCCCTTAGCACGAGCTCGCTGTTGTGTGATGCTTTCACTCAAAGGCGACAATGCTGATTGCACGATGGGTTCTAACATGCCATCATTCAATGGTGAGCTTTGGGTTCGTGCCGACAAGAAACCCAGTGCTGTACCAAACTGGTTCTTGCTGTTAAGATACCTTTGACATAAGAATAGGAGAAGAATAGAGGGGGAAAGAGAGAAGAGAAGAAATGAGGAAGATAGTGACCCACAAACCCAGATCTGATGGATGGATTTTGATGCCAGAGGAAGATAGTGGA